CCCCGCAAGGTACCTTTAATCGAGCACAATCAGCAAGAGGGGGGGGGGGGAGAAGGGGTCTCGGGGTCGAACTGTACACCTCTGGATGCAAAAAAAACACAAGAAAAAGGAAAGGGTGTGGAAGATGGCGCAGGTCAGGAAACTAGTATGTCACAACTTCCTTTGCACCGGCATGCCCAGTGTTAAGAAGAGGAGGAGGGGAATCAAGATCTCCTTACTTTTTCGGGTAATACATGTAAAATACTGACCCTGGGATCACCAGGACTGCACAATAGGATTCGGGTCACTCAACTGCCACACAAACTTTTTTCTATCTTATCCCGTTGCTAGTGGGACCATGCTCCAGGTGCTAGTGGTGAATGCTTTTACCAGCATCACTATCACTAGCGGGGGTCTCTGTCAAAAAAAAAAAAAAAAAAAAAAAAAAAAAAAAAAAAAACCCGCCGGGGGAAAAAAAAAAAAAAAAAAAAAAAAAAAAAAAAAAAGACCCGCCGGTTGGAAATCCACCAAATCGGCACGGCGAATATTTCATGGTCAAAATGATTTTTGTTTTTTCTTAAATATTTTTTCTGGAAAGAGCACGACCTAACCTATGGAACCTCAAATTTGTAGACATTGTGATGAATTCTTCTGAGCACAAAAAATCGGCAAAGTTGCTGCTTGCAAATGGCGGGATTTGAACCGCCGGTTGGAAATGGAGCAAATCGGCGCGGCGAATATTTCACGGTCAAAATGATTTTTGCTTTTTTATATTATATTTTTCCCTGAAAGATCACCACCTAGCCTATGGACCTTCAAATTTGCATACATTTGGATAAATCTTCTGAGCACAAAAAATCGGCAAAGTTGCCGCTTGCAAATGGCGGGATTGGACCCGCCGGTGACGAACGATCGCCGCCCCTCCGTACAGGCCAGCTACGGTTCAGACACACAGGCACACTGTGCAACCCCAGTTCGCACACACAGGCACATCCTGATGTGCCAGCTGCCTGAGGTCGGATACACTTTAAAAGAATGCAGGAACGGAGGATACCCAGCTCTTTATCATCACCATACAACTAAGCAAGATGGGAGTCACTGTGCACCCTCATGAAGACCTGTAGTAGCATGTTCAAACCTAGCTCCCGAAGTCCCCGTGCAATCAGGCTTGCACGGCGTCTGCTTCAACCAGGGTTGAGCAGGGGGTAAGCACCTCTGCTTAGCCCTGGTACCTGCAGCCGCTGTCTGGTCAGGTCACCCCGCCATGATGGCAATGGGTGATGGTCCTGGGTGGTTAGCACTAGGGTAGGACAGGGGGGGTGGGGGTGCGCCAGGGCAAAAAGATAAGAGGAAGGGTGGGTGGGGTCTTCAGAGGGGTTCATCTGAACAACCGAGTGGCCGAGTACTCTGGGTGACTGCCATCCGTCTAGTAGCCCACCTCTACAACAACCTGGGCTTTAAAAAAAAAAAGAAAAACAAAGAAAAAAAAGAAAGCAGTCCCCAAAAGCAGACAGGACCCAATCCACCTGAGCGGTTATCTCAGCCGGCAGTTGGGTATTTCAAAATCTGTGTGTGAGTTCAAACCCCAACCCGACCACAACCGCTCCAAGCAAGCTTCAAAAGTAACATATATATTAGTGTGTGTGTGTGTGTGGTGGGGGGGGGGATGGGGATGGGTGTGTGGGTGTGGGGATGGGGGTGGGGGTGCGGGTGTGTGTGTGTGGTGGGTGGGCGGGTGTTTGCATATGGGTGTGTGGGAAAAGGACAACCATGGGTGTGTGGGTACTTCGTCCTTTTCCCGCCCGCCTGCCTCTGTGGGGGAGAAACAAAATGGAAAAAAACAAAGGGACGACCAGACACGGGAAAACGAAACGAAAAAAAGCAAACCCGCGGCCCCAAGAACTTGTAAAAAACACACACAAAAAAAAAGAGAAACAAAACGACACTTTCTTGCTATGCGACGGCGGGCACTTCGAGATATTCCCTCGCATCGACGGTAGCTTGTATTAGAATTCGTATACAAAGTAAGTATACCTTGTTTTTCTTAACCGTAGTGGGACTTCGGCCCCGGGATTTGATCTGTTGCCGAGCATTG